CTCGACTTAGTAATGCAAATCTGGCTTTAAGTGGCCTTGTTGGTGTTTGCTGGAGTAGCTTCTGCTTGGTACAAACAGCGGGCTTGGCTGCAGGTGTCGTACAGGTAACGTGCTGTCCCTGTAGGGACACCTTTGTACCCGGGGACAGCCCCTGCAGGGTGGTGTGGCCATGACCGATGTCAGCTCGGGGTGCATGGGGTGACAGGGCTGGGAGCAGCGCCTGTGCCCTGCGGGGTGGTGTTGGCCATGACTGGTGGCATCTCGGGGTGCGTGGGGTGGCAGGGCTGGGAGCAGCGCCCGTGCCCTGCGGGGTGGTGTTGGCCATGACCAGTGTCTTCTCGGGGTGCGCGGGGTGGCAGGGCTGGGAGCAGCACCCGTGCCCTGCAGGGTGGTGTGGCCATGACTGGTGGCATCTCGGGGTGCGTGGGGTGACAGGGCTGGGAGCAGTGCCCGTGCCCTGCGGGGTGGTGTTGGCCATGCCCGGTGGCATCTCGGGGTGCGCGGGGTGACAGGGCTGGGAGCAGCGCCCGTGCCCTGCGGGGTGGTGTTGGCCATGACCGGTGCCATCTTCAGGGAGCAGTCGGGTGAGGCCCTCGTGGTTGGCAGTGGAGAGGTTGTTAAAGCCAGGAGGGAGGTTTGGGTTGGGTTGTTTTTCCCCTCTACTTGATAAATGCTTCCAGAGTTTACTGCTTTTGGAAGAAGGGGCAGATGGCTCCAAGAAGAGTACAGGGGTCTCGTTAGGTTGTGCAGAGAGAAAACGGGAATGGCAAAAGCCCAGCTAGAACTCCGACTGGCCACTGTTGTAAAAGGTAACAAAAAATGTGTTTACGAATACGTCAACAACAAGAAGAGGGCCAAGGAGAATCTCCATCCCTTGTTGGATGCGAGGGGAACATTGCCACCAAGGATGAGGAAAAAGCTGAGGTACTTAATGCCTCCTGTGCCTCAGTCTTTAATAGTCAGACTGGTTATTCCCAGGATATTCAGCCCCGAAATGCGGAAGACCGGGATGGAGAGCAGAGCAAACCTCCCATAATCCAGGAGGAAGCAGTTAACAACCTGCTCTGCCACCTGGACACTCACAAGTCTATGGGGCTGGATGGGATCCACCCAAGAGTGCTGAGGGAGCTGGCCAAGCCACTCTCCATCATCTGTCAGCAGTCCTGGCTAACAGGGGAGGTCCCAGACGACTGGAGGATCACCAGTGTAACAGCCATCTACAAGAAGGGATGGAAGGAAGATCCCGGGATCGACAGGCCTGTCAGCCTGACCTCGGTGCTGGGGA